AGTTCTGAAAGAATCCTCGCTTTCCCTTCCTTGTGTGCCTTGCGATAATCGTACAACATTTTACACATACATGTCAACATAATATGAAATGCTTACTGTGCAATTAGTTGTCTTTGTAGCTATGTTAAAACTGCTGTCTCCGATACACTTGTTCACTAAAATCCGTAGTTACCATGGATATTTGCCGCTGAGCAGGAGATTTGAGAGATTTAGTCCACCCGATGAAAATCAGCTCGAGGCCCAGCTTTCCGCCGAAGATTATAATCATCCGCGGCTTCCACTGGATTTCTTTAAAGTTTCCTTGTATTTTCATTGCATTATGAAGTGGAGCGATACTCCAGAGGCTGTGCTGATGCAGCTTTGGCCCAGCAACGGGGCTGGCAGACTGCCAGAAGCGAATGGTGACAAAAAAAGTAGTCCTTGTGGGTGAGATTATTTTCATCGTGCGTACTAGTATCCAGTGTGGCCGTGATGAAAAGTAGAACAAATTATTCCCGGTTTATAATCTGAGGATTGTTCCCTCAATGTGACCGGCCCCTAACGTGTTTCATGCTGGAAAGCAATCATCAGGAGACTGGGTCTATACTCGGGGTGGTGTGATCTTAGTCACTACAGGTGTTGTCCCATGGCAGGTATGCAATGCTAGTGTTTCAGCGCGAAAGCAGTGTAAGTGATAGGCATTTCCCAACTCGGCCGGCCGAAAAATTCGCTGAAAACAACGATCTTTTCGCCGAATATGCAATTTTTGCACTGAATTCGCCGAAAGTCGATGTTTTGGTGCCTCAACAGCACGCAAATACGATCTCTGTAGCCATTATACTGCGAAAGGTGACTGCGACGTTAGGCATTTCCGAAAACTGTTAGCAGGAAAAGACACAGAAATCAATGGCTGTCAAGAAATCACCGATAATTGCGCCGAAATTTCAAATTTCGCATTGAATTCGCCGAAAATCGATGATTCATTACTTCTACAGCGTGCATGAAATTATACTGGGAGCGATCACTTCAAATACCTAAATACATGACTGTACTGCCTTGAGCCGAATTCTGATTTTGGGGCTCATAATGTGGCCGATTTTGATTCTCTTAGCCTATCGAAAAGCCGATAAGCCAAAAAAATCGGGCCGATTTGGGAAATGACTTGTAAGTGATCAGTACCGTACAATGCGGGTGGCATGGGGATATTATGCATGACACCGACCAAGGCGCTACCGGGCGACGGGGCAGAGGAGGATACAGGCAAAAGGCTAGTCTTGTCATTGGGGCTTGGTGAAAGTTGGCACTAGTCACCGCCTCTGGGTGCTACTGATGCGGGAAGGGTGCTAGGTTATACGTTAGTTGCAGAGGTAGACCTTTGATCCGTGTCCGCACTTTGGCACCAGCTCCGTGCGCTCATTAATTAAGAGGCGTTTCCTTGTCTGCATTGCTGATGTATAGCTTCTCTGCTAGACACAGGTGACACTTCTTGGTGATACTTGTGTAGGGACGCTCCCTGCATCGCATCGACCAGTAGATCCTGGAGGGCTTGTTCGCCTTCTGCAACTTCCAAACGTATCTCATCAGGCGTGTGCTTTTTGTGACGCAATGAGGTGTTGCGGTTGTTAAGGCGCTGCTTTGAGGATGTTCTCGAACAGCCAATGGTAGATTTTGGGTGGGGCACTGTCGGAAGCCACGTGAACTTCGGCTATTTAAATGAGTTCGTATGTTAAACACTGTCCTTTGAGCGAGCAGGTTCCCTTGGACCTGCAGTTGCACATGTTGACCTTCTGCAGTTGGTTGGCTGGGGGTATAGCGACGCCCGGGGCAGTAGGAGCATTGGCTCCGGCGATGGCGTCAGTAGGTGCACATCCCTCCGTTCCCCCTGGTTCATGTGCCATTGCAGAAGCTGGGTTTGCTCGGCGGGGGGGGGGGGGGGGTGATACCAAGTGTGGTGTCTACAGGGGTGGCACTGTCCTCGTCCGCCAGGGTGGCCGTTGGCTGTGTGGCACGAGCTTGTTTCATACAAAAAAAGATGCAGTGCAGGATGCGCTGCATACACTTTGAGTGAGGTGTGCTTTGCCTGCACGAAAGTATTCTATGCGCCACACCTGTCAATAACGGACACGGAAGTACACTATCATGCACATGCATAATGTACATGTTATTGTATGTACAGTAACACGATCCGATTTGCCACGAATGTATGGGACCTGGTTCTAAAGACCACCTAGCTTTAACGACCGCTTTTGCCTGCATTGTGGGGTGGTCGCTTAAAACAGGTTTTTCTGTGTTTGTCTCGGTTTGCGCTCACCTTCCCCTCCTATGTTTTTCTATATAACATAGAAGTTATTTGACTACTAAATCGACCTGTGGAGAGCCGAACATTCATGGTGCTGTGTTTCAAGTGTTGCTCTACTCAGTGAAATGTAACGATTGCCGGAAGTTGACTTGTGCCCAAAATGTTTTCCATGCTTTCATTTTAATTCTTCCTTGGATCCCCATTTGAGATTATTATAGTGAATGTACAAATAATGAATTTAGTAGTTTCTACCCATCGGTGAATACCGGTAATAAATGCAAAACGAAAAAGCAGGAGGGGGGGGGGGGGAGCTAGTTCATAGTCTGTCAAAATAATCAACCTGTACAAGCTTCACATCTTGATGCACGCATGTTCGGACACAATTTTTGTTGTTGTGTTTTTATTTTTATGATTCTCCAAAACGAAGTGGGTGCTTATCATGGAAGTCTCCCAATTCGGCAATCGAACCCATGCCAACGTGTTCAGGAGGCAACAATCATCCAGGAACGATCATAAACTCCATGTTTGCCAAAATGTGCCATTGGAGAGGTGCAGTGACTCGTTTTTTTTATGAACGAAACGAGTGCTGACACCCGCTCCGGGTTAGAGTCTCGTTGACATATCGTTCCGAAGATTCGTTTTTACGAATCCGGCCTGTCTGATTCGTATGCAGCTCTGAGATCGATCCGCCCCAGAAAGTGTGAAAACATTTTGATCTAAAAAAAATTTCCACCTTTGTTGATTATCGAATCTTTCGTTTTCAATTTCGTTGTGTTTAGTAAGAATTTTTCCTTTCCTTTTTCCGAAATGTCAAGTGAAGTGCAGGCTCCCCCAACGTCCCCCTCCACCCCCGTGTCTCCCTCTGGAGCAAATCCTGTAGAATGCAGAAGAATTCGGAAATTTGCAGTCTTAGATGACATCAAGTTGCTGAACTTGATATTGTCCTCAGGACATGGAAACGTCTTTGCCTTACCGCAAGGGAATAAGGCTTGGCAGGACATCGGCAACGCCCTGTCACGGTTGGAACAGTTCTTGATGATGTGCTGACATGACGTTCGAACGTTCGCGCGTTTGTATTAAAAAAGCTTTTGCCCGAAGACATTTTGCAGAATGATCTTTCAAATTTTCTCTCCGCCATATTTACCATGGCAATCATGATGCGACTCGCATGTCTAGTCTTCTCGTGCATGAGTCACTGAACCTGTTTTGGGCACTGCACGAGCCGAATACAAAACGAAATGATCTCGTTTCGCCATACGAGTTGACAACAAATCACTGAACCTCTCTATTAAAAAGTGAGAAATTTCAAACTGGGCCCAAGGTAAGGACTATGAGTATGTTGTGCCTTGTCGTTAGTTTGGCTATCAGCGGCTGTGTGTTCGTGGTTTATTCAAGCGTCATTGTAACAATCCACAACACCAACGGATGCCATACATTTTTTTGTAGAACTGTCTGGGATATTTGCTGGGAAAAAGGGAACCTTAAAACATGCCGAGGTGCTGCAAAACCTTCTCTCGCTCTCATTCTCCTTTCTAACTTTCGTGTTTCGCCTATATGCCTCCTTTTTTAGAACAGAAATTGGCTCTTCTATTTCGTTCTGTGTCAGGGATACTACAAAATGTAGACACAAAACGAAATAGAAGAGCCAATTTCTGTTCTATAAAAGGAGGCATATAGGCGAAACACGAAAGTTAGAAAGGAGAATGAGAACGAGAGAAGGTTTTGCAGCACCTCGGCATTTTTGTTTTACTGAATAGTGACAAAGCATTCAGGCTACAAAACTACCCATGCGGGATCTCACAGACTATGATCGACTGCAGAGGTTTGCATGTTCGTGGACAGAGCAAAACTCTGCCAGTGAACAGAGCCAAGGGAAAGCAAGAGAACGCAACTGGATCAAAACCCTACCGATATGTTCAGTCCTCTTAATGCCGGCCGTGCTACACGTAGTCAGGGAAATCGAGCACTTAAATTTCCAGTCACTAAGACATCCGCTGGCACACATTCTGCCTCATTCCAATGTGTATCACTGTGGAACAGGCTCCAGCCCGACATCAGGAAAATCCCACAGTACCACCGATTCATGCGATCCCTCCCAGCACATGCTGCTTTTTCAGTAATGCCACTGCCCGCTGTATTATTATTTCCTTTACTGGCCTAACTGGCTTTTCACAAAGTAATACTTTACTACCCACTCTACTCAGTGTCATTACCTTCATTGGCCTTTTATAATTTATTCTCCTTTTTAGTCGATATCATGTAATTAGGCAAATTTGCCTGTTTGTTCTTCGACTCTAAATAAACAAACAAACAAAAACAAAAAACCCTGCCAGGCGTTGA